GGGCCCGGGTGGGGCCTTGGGAGAGAGGGGCCTTGTGAGGGAGGGGCCCGGGTGGGGCCTTGGGAGGGCAGGGCCTTGGGAGGACGGAGCCTTGGGACGGAGGAGCCTGGGTGGGGCCTTGGGAGGGAGGGGCCCGGGTGGGGCCTTGGGAGGGCGGGGCCTTGGGAGGGCGGGGCCTTGTGAGGGAGGGGCCCGGGTGGGGCCTTGGGGGGGAGGGGCCCGGGTGGGGCCTTGGGAGGGCAGGGCCTTGGGAGGGCGAGGCCTTGGGAGGGAGGGGCCCGGGTGGGGCCTTGGGAGGGCAGGGCCTTGTGAGGGCGGGGCCTTGTGAGGGAGGGGCCCGGGTGGGGCCTTGGGGGGGAGGGGCCCGGGTGGGGCCTTGGGAGGGAGGGGCCCTGGTGGGGCCTTGGGAGGGCAGGGCCTTGAAGGGCGGGGCCTTGGGAGGGAGGGGCCCGGGTGGGGCCTTGGGAGGGCGGGGCCTGGGAGGGCGGGGCCTTGGGAGGGAGGGGCCCAGGTAGGGCCTTGGGGGCGGGGCCTGCAGCAGGCTGGGTGAGGAAAGGCAGGACCTTGGGGAGGGAGCCCTCCTCCCAGGAAAGAAGAACCTTCCGAGGATTGGAGGGGGTGCACTTCCTTTGTCCTGTAGATTGACTGTAATTTGCATATGAGGGTGTGTCGGCAGGACTAGGAGGATCTAGAAGACTGAGCGGGACCTCCTGGGCACGGCTTCCATGGGCTCCTATTGAGCATCTCCCCCTTGGACCAGGATCTGGGGTGTGGGGCCGATGCGGTGCAGAGTCCCTCCTTCACGCTCTCGTGCGTCATTTGCTCTTCTGTGCACTCACAAAGCCTCCAAGCTGGGTGGTTTCCAAGTCCACTTGAAGCTATGTCTTTCTTGGAACAAGCAAGGGGGCAGGACCCACTGTTACCTCCCCACTTTACAGATGGGGAGACTGAGGCACACGCAAACACCTGTGAGGTCACCCAATCTGCGGGACGCCGAGCCTGCCGAGGAAACTGCCTGAGAGCCCTCCTTACTGAGTACCATCTGCTCACCAGTTCTGCATGATTTTATAAAAACATTTTTGTTTCCAAACAAAATACAGGCAGAGAATGCCTCCCCAGCACAAAGCCGACTCAGTCTCAGCCGCGCAGAGCTCCTTTCCCGTCAAGGGCTGGGCCCGCCCCCACCCCCTGTCCGGAGCACCTCTGTTCAGCCCTCTGCAGGAACCACGCCTGTGTCTCTTCCCTAAACTGCGCACGGCTTAGCCTTGCAGTTAAGGTTTTCCACGGCAGCGAGGCACAGAAGCAGAAACACAGGGCTGGGGGGACCCTTTATTAACTCTGAAGACTTGGAGAAGATGGTGGCCTGGAGGTGGGAGGGCCTCTGCCCTGAGACAGGGACGCTGAGGCTTTAGGGACTTTTGCTAAGGATGGCGTTCGAGGGATAAGGCTCAGTGACGCGCGAGGAGCTGACCGGAGGCTCGCTGTGTGCAGCAAAGCTGCGAGGAAGCTGCATCCAGGGCTGGAGTGCGGCCGAAGGAGGAAGCGGTCGCTTGGGACATGAGCTGCTGTTTGGGATTCAGATATGTTGGATTAGGGCCATGATAATGTAGAAGTTCTTACTCAGGCCGGAACCTATCACTCACCTCCTTCTTAACACTTGATGTGGACATCTTTATGTCTTATTTATTTATTTATTTAGTACAGGGTCTCGCTATGCAGCTCAGACTCGTAGTGATCCTGTCTCAGCCTCCCCAGTGCTGGGATTACAGGCGTGCACCACCACGCCTGGTTTTGTTGGCTGGCACGGTGTGTCCAGAATTCTGGGGCGGGCACGGTACGCCATCCCAGGGATTGAATCCCGATCCTTGTGCTTGCCACGCAGGAGCCTAGACAGCCAAACTATCTCCGCAGCCCTGCGTCTCCTTTAACTTGCAGTCCTCCACGCGCTTTCCCTCCAGCGTCTCTGCTGAAGGGCTGGGTTTCGGCAGCAACTGGGGGTTGGCTAGCAGGCCCCTCTGTCCTCTGAGCTTCCTGCGCGTCAGCTGTGGGACCCAGACCGTGCTGCATGGGCTCTGTCTCACCTACGCGAGGCCAAGGAGCGCCATGCTCTGCGCGGGTGCTGAGAGGCCCTGGGGCGCGAGATGGTGGCTCCGGAGTTACCAGTTCACTTGCACCCCGCAGCTTTGATGGAGAACCCCCTCTGAGCTCTGGCCATCTGCAGAGCCCCAGCTCCCAGTGGGTGGGATGAAGCTTGAGGCTTCCCCCTCAGCCACTTTTCAGGAGAGTTAAGCGCTACCCGAAGCCTGCCTGGGCGTGCAGTCTGCTTCTTGAGCCTCACAGTGGAGGCAGAGTCAGACTCTTTCTTGGAACCTAGAAGGGCATTGAGGAGAGGCCCAGGGCCTGCTGAACCGGAAAGCTTTCAGGAAAAGGGAAGGAATCCTGCACAGCTGAAGATCCAGGGTCTAAGCAAGAAGCATACAAGCTTGGAAGGAGGGTGAGACCGACTGCCAGAGCAGCAGGGCACATGTGTGGAACAGCCGGGAGGGCAAGGAAAGGCAGCTCCTTCTTCGCACTTCAGACCTCACCTGCCTTTGTCCTCAGGAGCACATCCATGCTGGAACCCAGCTCTGAAGGCTGCGGCGTCCTCACACTTGCCACCTCCTTGGTGGCCCGTGTTAATCTCAGCAAGGATTTGAAGGCTGTGCCAACACGTGGCGCGTGGGGCCTGGAGTCAGGGAGCCGATCTCCAAGTGCATGGCCCACTGGGTGACATTCCAACTGCCCTCTCTCTTGGCAGGCATGGCACCGTGTGCAGGGAGGGGCTGGTTGGTGAGCTGCGCAGGAACGTGCTTCAACGAAGCAAATAACTTCTTGCAGCTATTCCAATTCTCTTCTCTTCAGAAAGGGATGAAGAAGGTGATCTACTTTGCAGAAGGCTGAGGTGCTGACCGCAGGGAGGACAGGGTCTCTATCAGGAAAAGGAGCTAAGGTTCTACCGCAGCTATGGTTGAAATCTCCTTACTTAATAAAAATGATTGCTCTCACGTTTGAAGGGAGGTGTCACTAAGGATTAGTGGATTTGAAGGGTTTGGGCGGTGTCAATCAATGGCAGCAATCACCTTTGGGGTCTAAGTCCTGGGCAAGTGCAGGTCTCACCAGGCTGGCTCCTGAGTCCTTTATGCATAATCTGCATGCAATAAAGAGCACAGAGTTTAAGTGTGAAGTTTGTCAAGTTCCAACAAATTATGCAGCCATGTACCCAGCATTGCAACCAAGACGTGGAACCTCCAACGGCCCGGAGACATCCTGTGAGCTCCCCTGAGCCAGTGCCCCGGGGCGGCCGAGCGCTGACTTGCTCACCTGGCCTCGTAAGGGAAGCCATGCTGTGGGCGGTGGGCGGGCGGGCAGCCTCTTCCTCCCCCTCAGAGCCTGGCTCCCAACTCCCTGCGCTGCCGTCGCCACCGTAGCCTCTGCTCCTCCCCGCTGCCAATCAGTGCTTCAGCACACCAATGTCACGTCACCTGCCAGTGGGCACTCACAGTCACCTGCTGCCTAGATCCCCACAGAGACAGATTGGCCTCCACCTGTGAGATGTGGGCCAGGGGTCAGCTGCGAGGGCTGTGGCTGCAGCGGTCGCCTCCCCTCGTGTATCCAGCAGATGGGCACCGAGCTGGCAGAGGGTGTACATGCGGCTCAGAATTTCCTTGCTCCGGCAGCCAGAGGATCCCAAGTGGGACGGGCGTGGAGCCCAGGGCGCCTTCGCTCCTCCATACTCCACTTTCTTGCAGGCTGGCTCCGCTCTGGGGCAGCTGCTCTCCAGAGCGTGGCCAAGGTGGTTCGTAGCAGCTGCAGGCTCATGTGTACAGCCGGGGAAGCAGTGTGTGTTGGGCTCGGGACTGGGTGATTTCAAGAGATCCAACAGCAACCTCACGGTGAATACTTTCTATTGACCACATCTGCGTCACCTGACCTCACAGAGGTGATAGGAGCCCCCCCTCCACCCCTAGAGCCACCCACGCTCCCAAAGAGGAGGGCTGTTACAGAAGGAAAGAGAGTAGGCAGGAGGAGCAAAAGCTGCCCAGCACCTGCAGCCACCCTTAGTGCCCGAATATGACAGCCATGGCCAGCGACCCACATGTGCCACTCGGCAGCCGGAGGGTTAGCTTCCACGGCTCTGCCATCTTGGTGCAGTGGTGGGCGGAAGTTGAACTGCCTTCCTGTGCTTTGACCTTATTTGGACTCTAAAAATAAGTAAAGATAGGAATATTAGAATGCTGGTGCTAGCAACAAGAAGCAAATGTTTTGCTAATGTAATCCAGCTGAGACGGGATGACCTTGTCTGAGCAGCCCGAAGGGGGCAGCTGCCTTCTGCGCACGTGAGGGCGAGCGTGGTGTCCAGTGCTGTGGCTAGGAGGCTCTGCTCCTCACTGTGAGGGCAGCGGCCTCTCTGAAGCACACTTGCTCTGTGTCGGCAGAGGTCATCTGGGAGTGAGTCGTGGTCTGATGCCTCCCGAGGGACTCCTGTGCACCTCCGTGGCTGTGTTGCACACCCACTCGGAGAGACCTCCCAGGGAGGAACGGCACTCTCAGGGGAGAGACTGCAGGGTGGGTGGGTGGCACCGATGGGTAGAACCGGAGGCAAGAGGGCAGGCAGGAGTGTGAGGAGGGCCCCTGCAGGCATCCATACCTCAGCGGTGCACTTTCTGCCACTCAGGAGAAGCCTCACCAAGGAGCCCGCTGGGAGGCAGCCAGGAGCCTGAGCTTCAACCCCAAACCAGAGAGAAAGTGAAACAACACATATGATTTGGTGAAAATGTTGCTTTCCCGACAAATGGCTTCTCCACCTATTGTAAAGCTGGGCCAGAGAAATACAAATAGGTGCGAGCCTGTAATCCCAGTGCGGGGGAGGCTGAGACAGGAGCATCGCTGAGTCTGAGCCGAGTAATGAGATCCTGTACCAGGTACATAAAATAAAATTTTAACAAAAGCTGAACAATGCTCCTCAGCTCCTTCTGCTGGAAGGGGCTTATGGGGTCAGGAGCCGGAAGGTTGAAGACAGCATGGAAATCTCTAGGCGAAGAGGTCCTGTGTCTCCCAGCACCAACCAGAAGACCTAATAACAGTCATTTGCATCTTTTAAATGCATGGCTGATGTTGCTGCAAAATACTCCTTTGGTGAAGTGCGTAAATCTGCTACTCCTTACTTTTCAGTAAGTGACATGTCATGCACAAAAATGCCAAATCAATAAGCAGATGCCCCTTCAGAAGGAGCTGAGCTGCAGCCTCCACAGATTGCTTGCGGCTGCGTCCTGTCTTCCTCCTTCTGGAGTGCTGCTCTGCTGCTGGTCCTAGGACTGGCCCGAGCAGGTTTGGGGCTCTGGTTGTCAGGGGGCACTGGGATCCACGGGGCTCTCCTCAGCACCCCTTCTCGGCCATCCCTGGTCCTAGGGGTGGGCACCCTGTGTCCCCAGCATCCATTGAACCTCAAGAGGGGAGAACAGCTGGCAGCTGTGAGATACTGATGCGAGGGATGCTCCAAAGGGTATCTGAGGACCTCTGGGGTGCTGAGAGGCGGGGCTTCTGGGGGACACTTTGTCTCTGATGGCCCAGGAGAGTGAGATGTGGGGGCGGGCACAGTTCCTCCTGGTGCTGGGTCCTCTCAGGGTAGGTTGGGTCCCAGGCAGCATGGAGAGGCAGCGGAGCCGGGGAAGCCTGGAAGGCCCCTGTCCTTAGAGGAGGAGCATGCCAAAGGCAGTGGTTCTGGAAGTTGTCAGAGTGGGCAGGCAGCAGGGGCTGTCTGCGGTGCCCAATGAGTGCCGGCCACACTGCCGATTTGTCACTGCACACAGCCAGCCTGTAGCCCTGGCTTGGTTCATCTGAGAGGTGGGGTCACTGGGGCTGCCCTTGGAGGTCCCTGGAGAGCAGAGCTTTGCTGCCAGCTGCTGAGCCCACCAGCTGTCATTCTCCCCCTGTGCACACACACAGACATGCACTTACATACACAGAGCTGCACACACGTGCTATCATGCACACAGATTGTACACTCACACACTCTTGCCCACAGCCGCACGTGTGTGCACATGTATGCAGATGCACACACAAGTGTAAACCTGTGCACATGCAAGAGGTACTCACATGCTTATGCATACATTCACACGGATACACGCTCATGCACACTTCCACTCACTCACACTCATCTACAGTACACGGATTTGAACTCACTCCCAGGCTTGCTGTCACTTTGCCCGTGCACACACGGGAGTGGCCCCACAGCCCCCATTAGCCTCAAGTGTCCTGGGAGAAAAAGGCCCAGGAGCCTTGGGAACACACAGGCAGCAGCAGCAACAAAACCACGGGTCCTTGGAGAGGGAACCAAGACAAGGGGAGACGGCCCGAGGAGAGTGCTCTCAGGCTTTCGTCTGTCACAGGCCCCGCTGGCCCACATACTGGGGAGCTCTCTGCGAAATAGCCAAATCCTGGCCTGAGCCCAAGATGAGCTCATGCGGGCGGGTGTAGGCTGTGCCTCATCTGTCCCATTAGCTGCGGCGAGAGGCCCCTTGGTGGCCGCCACTGCCTTGGGAGATGAGAGCAGGGGCAGACAGGGCCAGCACAGGAGGGTGAGGACCACAGCTGCGTCTCCCAGGGCTCCAGCGCTCCTAGCTGCTTGTTTCTGGTCACTGCAGCCCCCAGAGTCCCAGCCCAGATACCTCAGCTGTCCCCAAGTGGAGTCTGTCCCCATGCTCGGCTCTGCTCTCCCGGCTGCTCTCGCTGAAGGTCGTGTCAGCTCCTTCTGGTAGTTTCTAAGCAATCCCATCTGTCATAGTAGTAGCACAATGCTAAAAATAGCAGCCCTGTGGATATACACCTGTGTTGTCCCCACGCAGCGAGGCTCTCCACCCTGTACCAGGGGCTCTTGTTTGGGAGGAGACTGGCCTGGCCCAGGGAGACGCTGATGTTCTGGCCCAGAATGGAGCATGGCTCTCCATGGCAGTGGGTGCGCCACGACCTCCCACCCCTGCAGGAGCCTGCCCGGGAGAGACAGCTCGCGTCTGGTGGGGGCACCAGGGATTGAACCCAGGCCTTTGCGCTTGCCAGGGAAGTGCTTATTCCACTGAGCCATTCCTCAGCCCCCAGCAATTTTCTTAAGCAGAGTAGTAAAGACACAGCCGCAGTGGGTGTCTGTTCAGCACCCTGACTGTGGACAGCTCCCAGACAGGTCCTCCCAGCCCAGGACTGGGGCCGGGTGTGTGTGTGTGTGTGTGTGTGTGTGTGTGTGTGTGTGTGTCCAGCAAGACAACCATCCAGAAGTCCCTGACCCCACTGTCCCCAAGTCCATAGGAAGTGAGCCCCTCTGGACACATGAACACAGGACCGGCTCCATCTGATGAACATGGAGCTAAATGAGGGTAATTAATTTATGAGTCACAGCAAGTTAATTAAAATGTCTACTTACTAATGGTTCCTGGGCACAACTTGGAATGAGGGTGCTACCGCAGAGATTTCTTCTATTTGGGGACTCCCTGATTGGAAAGTGGTCCTGCCAAGTTTCTAATGTGCCCCCCACAGACTGGTGCGGCAGCGCCCGGGTTATTAATGCAGTGTGGCATTCCTTGTTTTGGTATATTAATAATTAATAGAGACATGCGAATAATTGCTGTTGCAGCTGCGGTTACTGCTGCTCGTGGCCTCTTCCCTTAGTAGCAGCGCTGTCCTGCGTCCTCAGATGAGGCAGGGTCAGCTCTGGGAGGGCAAGCACCCTAGCCAGGGACGGTCGAGGCACAGGGAAGCCTAGCTGGGATGGTGTGCAAACCACTTAAGAAGTTGCCTATGCCCTACAGAGTCACCTAAGACCCCCCACTCAGGGGCATCTGTGGGAGCCCGAGGACCTGCTCGACTGGACACAGCGGCAGGCCTATGCAGAGGGGTGGCAGAGCCCAGCAGGCTCTGCAGCAGGCCTTGAGCAGCGTCTGCACCACAGCCTCGTTAGCTCCAGGGCTCCTGTTTTTGCATTGTCTTGTGCAGAATGGATGCCGCAGTGTGTCACCTTGCAGAGGCCTCTGGACCTGGTGGTTGACAGCGGTTGGCAGCAGCGGGCACTTGGAGCAGTAGTTGCTTCTTGTCTCCTAAGGGTTTTACCACATCCTTTCTCTTAGAAAGCACTACACAAATCACCTTGTCTTGTGGCTTCACCCTACACCTCCACACTGAGTACCCCTCAAGCTGAAGGGTCCCACCCAGCTGGGTGGGATTCTATGCAGGGTGAGTGTAGCCCCCCACCCCAGCTGGAGCCCATGGAGCTCAGCAGGACCCCTGCTACAGAGTTCAGGTGGCTGTGTAGTTTTCAAGGAGCCTGGAGCAGCCTCCACCCAACCATCTCTGAAGAGGCTCTGGATCCACACTTAGGTGTCAGGTAGCACCCAGGGGCCCCCCAAAGGAGAACAGAAGAGAAGAGCAGGCCTAAGAACAGTCCTCCAAATTCAGGCAGTAGCCACCCCTGGGGTAGCCCCATGCTCTGGCTACAGACCATGACCTGTGTGAAAGTCTAAAGGGCTTCTACTTGGCATCATACTATTCCAGTGCCAATGTCCCGGCCACAAGGGACTGCCTGCTTTCACAGTGACCCTCTGAGGGTGGGTCTTGGTAATTCTCCCTATTGTATAGAGTGGCAAATTGAGGCCCAGGCAAGTTCCATGACTTCTGAGGTCATGTGACTGTGCGACGGCTAAGGTGGGCTTACAGCCCAGGCAGAGAACAGAGCCACAGGCGGGCCTCCTGTCTCCGGTCTGGCAGCTGCAGAGGTGACAAGGCGTCCTGCACACAGCTCTTCCAACAGATCTCTGATACCCTGCCTTCCTTTGCCTGCCCCTCTGCCTCCTTCTTCTCTTTCTGCCTCTGTTTCTCTCTGCCTCGGCTTCTCCCTGTGTAGGCATCTGAAGCCTGTCTGTTGTCCCAACATCCGCACACACTAGGGCACATCCGCATGTCACTGGTCACCTGCATGTGCTTGTGTCCTTGACCTTGGGGCTGGCCCCTCTTGGGAAGCTTACCCTGCACCTCCTGCCTTTCCACAGGATTCTAATGCTCAGGAGCTCCGCCAGTCTCTGTCCCGTGACCACCGAGGTCTCCTGAAACTGTCAGGTCTCTGGGTTTATTTAGGGAGGAGTGATTTCTCCTTGGAGGCTGCTTTTTATCTCAGCCCTCGGTAGAGACTTCCAGGAACCCCCTGGGAAAATGCCTTTAGGGAAGGAAGCTGGGCAGCCCCCCCCACGATGTCAGGGACTTGGTGCACCCCACAGATGGAACCTGGGGCTGGAGGGCTGAGGCTGTCCCTCTGCAGTGATGGGGGACCAGGGGACAGTGCATGCTGAGTGACTCACGTGTGCTGCATCAAGCGCTGCAGGCGCCGCTGAGCTGGGTACTGCCGCCCCAAAGGCTGTGGGTGTGGCCACAGTGGCGGCCCTCAAGCTCCTGCAGGAACGCAGCTGGGCAGGAAGCAGTTGCTTCTGTTTTGCCGTCCCCCCTTCTGAACATTAAATCAGCTGTGGGGACAGGGGACTCTGGCTTAGACACTCTGCGGGGCACAGTTTAGTAGGACAGGCTACAGCCCCTCCCCAGGGTTTGGCAGAACCTGCCTGAGTGGCTCTAGGAGGACTTCACAAGGGCACCCAGATCTCACGGCTCAAGGTGGCACTGCTTAGGGAGACACGCGGGACCTTCAGAGTGCAGTTAAGGGCTCTGTGAGCTGTCTGTGGCTCAGAGCACAGACCCAGACTGGCCCAAAACCATGCATCCACAGCCTGCATGTGGGACACAGGTGCCGCCAATCCCTGCC